TGAAAGAGACAATATTAAGGTTGTGGAGTCAGGCTGATTCCCTTCTGTTCTGAAGCCCAGTTTCTCATTCTCAGTAACGGAATCACTGTTCCAGCAAGCAAAACGTCATAGTGAGTTAGGTTCCTTCCATGGCCAATGGTTTTCCCTGTTGGAGAAAGTTTTGGAATGACAGAGGGTCAGAACTGGAGAAGTCCTTAGAGGTCATCTCAATAACCTCCCTGCTTTACAGATGAAGGAGCTGGAAGTCTCGAAAGAGCAGTGTCCTTCTCGAGTCCACCAAACGAGTGGCAGAGCTGGGGCCAGGAGCTCCTTGACTTTCAATCTACCCCTTTGGTCTAGTGCCAGGCTGGAAAAAGAAGGAGAAAGTGTTTTCCAGAGGCAGACCATAGCGAGTGTTTCTCTGTTTGCGGTTTAAGTGGTGCATAAACATTGCCTTCAATAATTCTTTTCTAATCCTACTGATAACATTTAGAGAAAAGTCTACTTTTACAGAAAGAAGGTCAATTCTTTGTTTCTCTCTTCTTTTCAACAGACCTCAGGCTGAGTCTTCAGCTAAGAATAATCTCTCGATAGAATTTTTAAACAGTAGGTGACAGTCATTATATTTATTTTTACTATTATTTATTAGGTAGTACTCATTCTGTGAAATATGGTGTTACACAGTTTTGTTTTCAAAGTATTATTTGAATTAAATGAGCACATACATATGGAGTAAATTATGAATTAGTGGCAGTAAGTGGATATTGCAACAGTTGTCAGAGGAGGAAGCAAATGACTTAAGTTGGGGAACTTGCTCTGGGTACAGCCTCTTAGATTTGTGTCGGTGTTTTGGATGCCACCCAATATCTCCGCCTCTGTGATCTGTGTGACTTCACTGCCTTTTGATAAAATGCTCCTCATAGTGGCTAAAATCACTTAGGCAACTAGGATCTGCATTGCCAGATAGGAATCTTCTGAGACGTTTGTCCCTCTGCCTCTAAGGTGGAGCCTGGGTCACTAGTGGAGCTCACCTTTTCTATGGTGGGTCTCCTTTCATGTACTCCTCCCACAAAGCTGATAAAACATTGATTCTTGAACCCAGGAGAACATTCTCCAGCAAGCAGTTGACTTGGGCCCCAGGGAGCAAATATATGTATGTATTTATCTATCCAGGAAGTCATTTCTCTTTTACAGGCCTTCTGGGATGGAAGAATTACTAAGCGATTATTCATTAACAGTTGCAGACCCAAGCTTCCGGCTTTGGAGTGAGAGGGTGGGAATGGCAGCAGGAGTCAAGGGCTGACAGAAACATTTCATACCGACCGAGATGATAGACCACAAACTTTGCAAGCTCTGAATCAAATTAAGTTGCAAACATGCTTTCCTTCAAGTAGGTGCTGACCCTGCACCTGGCTAGCCCCACTCAAGGAGGCCTGGGGAAGGGGTTCCTTTGATTGTGTACTTGATCTGGGTCACACGTCACAAATTTTCCCAACTGCTACCGTCTCAAGCCTGTGTTATCTATTAAGCACTAGAGGCCCAGTGCCTATCGTCTGGGAAGTTTTCAAGGGCCTACGATATTTGAGACTGGAGAAACAAATATATTAGCTCCAATACAGGAGAAGTCAACTGCGAAATCAAATTTAAAATATTTACTTACTTGCTACCACAGTAATATAAAGCCGATTTCATTTGTTTTGAAATTTGGCACGTATAAAGAGTTGATTACATTGGAAAACAATCTTAGGTTAGATTTTCTCATTTTACAGGAATTCCCAAGTACCATGACTGTAGAAGGAACAATGCCAATTACAAATTCCCTGTAGTCAAGTAATTTCAGAAGTAAAACTTATTAAAATCGCTTCAGATACATTTCTGTAAGAATGATATTGAATGAGGAATATATATTTGATATATTCGATGTGGTGTGATGAAATGTTATAGAGCTCGGTATGGTTTGGTGGCATTAAATATGGCCCTAGACATTCTAGGGCCAGTTGCCTTGAGTGTAATATTTATTCTGCTTTACTAAAGGCAGCCAGGGTAATACAAATCACACTCCTTAACGGTCAGGTCAGCACAGGGTTGTACATCAGCAACAGGAGGACAGGAATATTACTAACCGCCATTTATGAACATCTAATATGTGCTTAGCACAGTGCTAGTTGATAGCTATCACTTAAAAAGATGCTTACTGTGTGTCAAGGTGTTATGCTTTCTATGTGATTTTATATACAAAACAATAGTATGTGTTCCATGTTATTATCCCCATTTTACAGAAAAGAAAATAGACTTGGAGAGGTTAAGATTTAGTAAGTGGCAGGGCCAGGACTGAAAATGAAGTCTGGCTCTAAAATTGTGTTGTCCCTCTGTGTCACACTGCTTTCCTGCTTATGGGCTGAGTCACTTTGTGTCCAAATTCTGTTTTAATAGGCTAGTCTTCCTTTTGTCTCCTAGACGTGCTTTACTCCCTCCAACTTGACTTCTTTTTTTTCCTCTTACCTGAGAGCCCTCCCTCAAATATTATCGACCCGTCAGAGGTTAGCTGTATCATATCATCTTGATCATGGTCACATGCATAAAGCTTCCTATATAACTCGACCTCAGGCTAATCCTTCTGGAACATAACGGTCTTTAGCATTAACTCCCGGTGCCACTTATTTGGGCTCTTGTTATTTAGCTCTTACATGTGTATCTAGTTTTCCCAACTAGACAGTAAACTCACAGGTCAAGCAGGAGTCCGGTCCTTTCATGCTTCTCTTTCTCCATAGTGCCAGGCACACTGATAGCTCACGAGGATACTCAGTGACTGTGTTGAAGTGAATCTTCTCTCAGTCTCCTCATCATTTGTAACATGAAGAGTTTCAGTGTAGTAATTTCTAAAATGCCCCCTGGTTCTAACACTCTATGAAATAAGAAGAAACATCAAAGTGCTAGTAGCCAGACTAGAACGTGAGGGAAGGACCTACAGGAAGACCCCAAAGGTAGCTCAAAAGAGGGGTGGTAGAGAATAAGCATTGATCTCCTAAGGAGCAGTTTTTTTTCATGAGAGGTGGGTGAGAGTGCCACAAAATTCCATTTGGGTTGCTGGCCTGAAGTCCAGCAGCACCAAGAGGTAGTCTTTGAACTACCAGTGCCACTCTCAGTGTAGGTGTCAGGCTTCAAACTGCAAACAGCCTCCTGGTGGTGAGAGGCAGACTCTTCAGGAAGAAGGGGGTTCTGGAGGAGTGGGCCAGTGCAGAAGGGGCCAGGGCAAATGACCAGGAGTGGCTAAGGGGAAAATGTTCTGAACCTTGGCTTGTGTTCTGTATAACAGTGGTCTCTAACCCTCCGGCTAGAACTGGTCCGTGGTCTGTTAAGAACCAGGCTGTACGACAGGAGGAGAGCAGTGGGCAAGCTAGTGCAGCTTCATCTGTATTTGCAGCTGCTCCCCTACGCTAGCATCACCACCTCAGCTGCACCTCAGATCATCAGGCCTTAGATTCTCATAAGAGCAGTGGTCGCTGGTGCCAAAAAGGTTGGGGACTGCTGCTGTATGAGATTGTCCAGACAGGTTCCTGGTCCCTCAGTAGAGGGCAATGATGGATCAGTAGAGGGCAGTGATGGATCAGAGGTTCGTATGAGGACAGGTGCAGCTGTGACCGACCAGCTGGAAGCTACGCTGCTCTGATAAGGTGCTCATGACAGGGTGTGAGAACTGTTGCTGGTGCTGCTTCTCCCAGGTGCCAAGGCTGAGCCGAGCTGGGATGTAGAAGCCTTGAAGTAAAATGCACCCAGAGACAAGGCGAATGAAGGTATAACATTGGCTTCAGGAGGCAAGTGGCTGTTGATAGTACTCTTTCTCTAGGCACAGCACAAAAAATTTTTAGCTAACTTTCTGCCAAACAGCTTATACCTCCATGGTGGACCATGTGGGGCCAGGACAGGTGGCTGGAAGGAGCACTTAACTCCTAGTAATGGATTACTCTGACATCTGGGCATTTGACTAGCTCTGGCTGTGAAACATTATTGGAAAATGAGACCGCTATTGTGAATATTTAGATCCCCAGTTACTTGTGAGTGTATATAGCAATATCCCTGGGAGAGAGAGAAGAGGGAGAAGAAGGGAATAGTGCAAACAGAATGAAAGTCTAGGAAGCTGGGTAGAAGTGAGCTCAGGCCGACAAAGCCCAGAGGGATAAAAGGATGAGAGGGCCACAAGGCAGCATCCTACTTCTGAGCAGCTGTGGAGAACAACAGGGCTACCTTGCCCCAGCTTCTGTGAAAGTCCTCCTTGGTCTATTTGCTGGGATTGTGGTGTTGGCAATGAGTCAACAACTAGGGCAGGGGAACTGGATCGGTCTCAAATTGAGGCAGGAGCCTTGTCAGAAGCTTCCACAGGGAATCTCTCCAAGAGGGGTCCCTGGCTCTGAAGGCCCATAGTTATGGGATACCCTGGATCCTGGTTTCTGAACTCTGAGCCTTGCAGCCCTGTCACGTGAAATCCAGTTGCCACACTCCTGGGCAACCTGACTCTGTTTCTCAGTCAATTTTTTTTTACCGTGTAGCTCTTTGGAGCCTTCTCAGGGAGCCGGTACCCCTGTGATCTTGCCTCAGTGGATGGATTGTTTCCTTTTGTTCTTGATGGCAGGATCTGTCCTCAGGAAAAGGATGTGGTCTTCACCCCAACCAGAGGTGAGGCATGTGGCTCCCCTCACACGGGTTTTGTGGCCTTTAGCTCACTACAAGCCTGTGTGCAGCATTTGGACCTCCCAGGGTTGACAATGATGACCATGATGAAAACAATCATAACTAACATTTGCTAGGTTTCTATGTTCCAATCACTGTTCCAAGTGCTCTGTGTCCATTTTCTCTCTTTCTTTCTCTCCTCCACCCCACCTCCCCGTCTTTCTCTGTCTCTCTCCCTATCTCTGTCTCTGTCTCTCTCTCCAATTCAGCATGCAAAGGACCTTCCTATTGTCCTGGACCCATGATTATCTAATCTTCCTCACCCAATTCTTCAAGAGAATTACTAGTCAGAGACATAGACTCATGGAAAGAAAGTTAAGGAAAACCTCATCAAGGCCAGTGTACTCCTGCCCTAGGCTGAATGCAGATGTGTGCCAAGAGTATGCAGACCACAAGATAAATGTCTTCTTTCCCAATTTTACTAAAACTATTTTAGAGGGAGAGGAAGTAAAGCATTATTTTTATATAAAATAAAACTATATGATGGAGTATACTGAAAAATTCAAATAAATTGCTTTTAAGAAATAATTTAAAAAAATTTTTTTTGTCTGACCTTGAGCCTTTATCTACTCTTGGCTAGGAGCTTTTTTTTTTTTTTTTTTTTTTTTGTTGTGGT